TCCTGTTGTCTGCCCACCCTTTGCCAGTGGGCCCTGGGAACATGCGCTCCTGACCTTGGTAGTTTTCCACCATGCCTGCTTACTGGTATTTAATGCTCCACTCTTGTTACAATAAATGCCATTCTCCTTGCAAGAATGAGCTGCTGTCTTTTGTCTTCATTTAAATCCTCAGTTCTTCGCCTGGATCATTGAGAAATGTTGTAACCCCATAGTGTTCACTACATCTGACCTTTTTTGTTTCCTGAAAACACATGAACTTTTAAAGGTAACATACATATCTGCATTAACACAAGTATGGATTGTGTCGTATACACAAATTAGCTAAAGATAATTTTCTGTTCTATGTTTGAGCAGATAAAATAACAGTTGTAAACTTTATAAGTCCATTTGGACTTCATAAGCAAACCATAATGTAAATCTCCACCAATGTCATATGAAAGGATGGCATACAATAATAAGTCATGAGGATTCTCTAGATAACAAGATTTATCATGTCTCATCCAGTCTCAGAACTGTTACCCTGTAGAGGGTCAGCTTATATGTCACCTGTTTGGGAGTTTTTCTTATTTTTTTTCTTCATGTCTATAGCCAAGATTTTTAGGAAGTCTCCTGATTCTGAAGAAATCATAGCTTTTGGATTCCTGTGGAAATGAAGGCATAACCTATCTCTAACACAACACACTTTTTGACTTCCATTCTAAGGTCAAGACATCCTTAACATATATAGGCTGGTTCAATTTATCAGGTTTTTTTCACAATCCACTGTCTCTCCACAGCCATTGCCTTTTGCTCATTAGCATTTAAAAATTCAAAGTCAACAAAGCAATATACAGGATCCAGACACCTGTGTATTTTCCATCCTTACATGGTTATTCGTTTTTACATTACATTACTCTTTCTTTAAAGATTTTACTTTATTATTTTAAAATTTTATTTTTTCTATGACTGTTTATACCGATTTTCGTTTCTTTCTTTAGCATCTAAGCACATTTTAAACATATTGTACCTGTTTAGAGTTTTGGTTTTGTTGTTTTTTTTTTCAGTCTGGACCTGACTTTTTGCAAGCCTGCAGCTGTGTACTTGCAAAAGACACATCTTAAACCACAAGGCTACCACTGCAGAGTAGCGCTGGTGGCGGGCTCTGCCTGCTTCTGGTTCATGAGAGCACCCCTGTGGGCCCTGGACTGCAGCTGGTCTCTTCTCGCCAGCTCTGGGAAGCTTCTGGGTCCACACTGTGGCAGGTGTTCCTAACAAGTCTCCCACCACCAAGTAACACCACCTGCTGCTCCAAACTCCATTCAAGTGCTCAGTGTCAGGGCCTCTTAAATAAAAAAGCTGTGCCTCTGTGTGCAAATCGTGAATACGAGGAGAACAGAAACACTCATTCATTGCTTGTGTGAGCACAAATTGGTATCACACCTACAGAATTAGTGTGGAGATTCTCAAAAAGCTAAAAATAGATCTACCATATAATCAAGCAATATCACCCTTCTGTATGCGTGAATACGTGTTTCTCTTATTGGTTGATGAATAAAGCTGTTTCAGCCTATTGACAGGCAGGATATATCCAGGCAATAAGTATATGCAGGGCTTCCAGACTAGGAGAATTCTGGGAAGAGGAAAACAGACTTTTGAGCAAAGGCAGCACACCTGGGCATTCTCCTGTAAGCCAAGACCACGTAGAGATACATAGATTAATAGAAATGGGTTAATAATTAAGAGAGAGCTAGCCAATAAGAAGCCTGAGTCACTGGCCAAATGGTTTATAATTAATATAAGCCTCTATGTGTTTATTTGGGACAAACAGCTGCAGGACCAAATGGGGCAGAAACTTCCATCATCACTAGGTCATATTATTCTCAAAGGACTCTATGTACTTCTTCTGTAGAGATACTTGCTCATCAATGTTCATTGCTGCTCTGGGAAACTGAAATACCCTTGATGCCCATAAACTGAAAAACAGATAATGAAAATGTGTTATGTTTGTTCACTTGAATATTATTCAGCTGTTAAAAAATAACAAATTATAGCCAGGCGTTGGTGGTGCACGCCTTTAATCCCAGCACTTGGGAGGCAGAGGCAGGCGGATCTTTTTGAGTTTGAGGCCAGCCTGGTCTACAGAGTGAGTTCCAGGACAGTTTCCAAAACTACAGAGAAACCCTGTATCAAAAAACCAAACCAACCAAACAAACAAATAAATAAAATAACAAATTATGAAATTCCCGGGTAAATGGATAGACTTGGAAAAAAACATTCTTTTTTTCCCTTTGGTTTTTTGAGTCTAACTAACCTTGAACTCTATTTGTAGACCAGGCTGGCCTAGAACTCATAGAGATCCACCTGCCTCCACTTCTGGAGGGCTAGAATTAAAGGCCAAAATAATCATTCTTAATAACATAACCCAGACACAGAAATACCACAGTCATATGTTTTCTCTACTTATTAATGTTAGTTTTGAAGCTTCAAATGTGTGTTCTATTGCGAATACCTATAAAGGTGAGGAAAGTAGTAAGGGTCCATGGGGTAATATTTCAAGAGAAGGGAGATAAGATGCAGTGATGTAAAGGGTTAAAAGGAAATAATGGTACAGGATGGGTTAAGTGAAGAGTTGGATAGGAGGGGGTCTAAAGGAGAGAGTATTGGGAGGAACAACTAACAATAAAGACATTTTGAAAAATGTAGAAACTTCATATATATGCATGTATGTGCGTATGTATATATGTATACATAGATTACACACATAAAAATTAAAATGGAGTTACCTGGGATGGTGCAGCAATAAATACCCTTATTAGACAACACAAGCTAACAACTTAAAATCCTGGTGCCAAGAATGGGTTACCTCTTTTGGAGTTGTTGTCCAGTGAGGTTCTGTCTTAACTAGGGTTTCTATTGCTGTAAAGAAACAGCATGACCATGGCAACTTTTATAAAGGAAAACATTTAATTGGGTGGCTTACAGTTTTAGAGGTTCAGTCCATTGTCATCATGGTGTGACTCAATGGCGTCCAGGCAGACGCAGTGCTGGAGCAAGAGCTGATAGCCATCACATCTTGAACAAACGGCAACAGTAAGTGGTCTGAGACACTAGGTGGTATCTTGAGCATACAAGACCTCAAAACCCACCCACACAGTGACACACTTTTTCCAACAAGGCCATACCTACTCCAACAAAGCCATACCTTCTAATAGTGCCACTCTTTTGAGGGTCATTTTGTTTTCAAACCACCATGGGTATCATAGATCTCAAATATTATAGGGTATTGTTCTTGGCTATTCTTTAGAATGCTATGGTAAGACCCTGCAGTTGACACCATATACTTTAGTCCTAAAACACAGAGAAATTGAGCTGCCTCTCACTTGGATTCTTCTTGGCTAGCTCTCATAGTGCTGTGCCTGCTACTAGAGAAGAAAACTAATCATTATTCTTACCCAGTTGTGAACCCTATGAGCTAAAATAATGATTAACTGGCAAGATATGCCCACTGGTGCAACAGCAGCACAAATGCCATTGAAGTAACCAACCCAATTTATGATTGGATTTAAAGTCCACACCACTAATTGAAATTGTAACAGGCACCCAGACATTATTAGGCCACCAGACATCATGGCCACAAAACTCAGCATATAGACGCTGAGTAGACGCTGTTACTTGCCAAAACAGTGGTTCTCAACCTTTCTAATTCTGTGATTCTTTAATATAGTTCCTCATGTTGTGGTAACCCACAACCATACAATTATTTTGTTGCTATTTCATAACTGTCATTTTGCTACTTTATGAATCATAATATAAATATCTGATATGCAAGATATCTGATATTCCACCCCTATGGGGCTTACAATCCACAGGTTGAGGAGCACTGTACCCAAAATGAAAACAAAGACCTAGTCCATCAAAGTCCACAGATCTTGGAAAGTCTCTAAAGGTACTAAGCTTGCTTTTTGGTTTCTGTCATCTTGCTTCATGTAACATCTCTGACTGTCCTGAAACTTACTTTGTAGACCAGTTGGCCTTGAATTCATAAAGATTCACCTGCCTCCTGAATGCTGGGATTAAGAGTGTGACACGATGCTCAGCTTCGGCTAATTCTTCTTGCTGAGCTGTATTAAGGCAGGATATGGTTTTATGCTTAAAAGTTCACCCATAAGAAAGGCTTAGGGCTACACTGGGATTCTGAACACCGAGTGTAGCCGCTGGCTAACTAATAAAGACTTTCTATTGGTTTAAACCTGTGTCCAAGCAATCTTCTCTGATGGATACCCTCAAACAGAAATTTGTGCTTAATGATGTTATTGAGGTCAAGAACCTGTGGCTATGCTGGGTAGTGGTGGTACACGCCTTTAATCCCAGCACTTGGGAGGAAGAGGCAGGCAGATCTCTGTGAGTTTGAGGGCAGCCTGGTCTACAGAGTGAGTTCCAGGAGAGGTTCCAAAGCTACAGAGAAACCCTGCAAAAAAAAAAAAACTAAAACCAAACAAACAACCCCCCCCCCAAAAGAAACCAAGCAAGCAAGCAAACAAACTGTGGCTAGAGAGTTCCTTGTACCTAGGGAACAACCTGCTACTATGACTTTGTTAAATGGACATGGTATTAAATGAACAGTGAATGACTTATTGCATCCACAGATCAGTGCATTTCTCAACCTTCACTAGAGAAGCTTACTTTAAACAGATGGCGATTAAGGCAGAACACAGACAGAGAGAGCCCAAGAAGAATATGGGTATCCAGTGCAGCAGGGTCAGTAGTATGCTCCTTAGAGAGCACACTGACAGCCAGAAGGGATGAAAATGGGTGGGAGACATGCTGTAACCTGGACCCAGGGAGTCTGACTGTAGTGTTGCTGTTGCTGCTGCACACAGCATTGACTATGAACTGGAAGGCACTCCCGACCTCTGTGAGTCACATTTGAGCCACCCACCCCTAGGCTGAAGTGTCTTGGTCACTTTATCACCCCTCCCTTCTCACTTCCTGGGTTGTGTAATGCTCACTGAACCCACAGAGCAATCTCATCTTGTTTGGACAACACTTGAAGAAGGGACGTTTCCCTTCTGCTCTCTCCAATTCTCTCTCCAGAGCCACGGCTTGGCCTGGAACTGGATCTCAGGTGGCCAGGGCAGTGAAAGCATAACTTAGCCCTCCATGGATCTGCCTTACTACCATGGCCAGCTGACCAAGCAAGAATGTGAAACCCTGCTCCTCAAGGGAGGGGTGGATGGCAACTATCTGATAAGAGACAGCGAGTCTGTGCCAGGAGTCCTGTGCCTCTGCGTCTCGTGAGTAGCCTTGTCTTCATGAGTTGAACCCCGACGGCAACCATCTTCTCAGGGAGTTGTGCCTCCTTCTTCTTTGCGACGCTAAGGAGCCAGACATGGCCAGGAGAGACTAGCAGGGTGTGTCTGCCCAGCTCTTCTGCTGCCTTCCCCTCCCGGTTGTGGACATCACATGAACAGACCCCGAGGCAGCAGAAGTGGGGATGGTAGGGACAGAAAATGAGAGAGTGATGGGGAGAAGGAAGAACTCTAAGAATGCAGTCTCCTAGTCTCTTTATTTGCTGTGGAGAATGCTAGAGGCCCTTTATAATATCTCTGCCTGAAAGGCTCTATGACTGCATTCGCATGAAATATTCAAAGTGCTAGTATGTCATACCTTGTCAAAGACTTTGCAAGCAGCATGTCTTTGTTTCTTTTTATCCTTTTGGTGGCCTTTTGAGGCAAGTAGATGCTATTGTCATTTTATAGACAAACAGAGAAACACCGAATCCTTTATCATCCTTTTCCCAGAAGATATCGAGGAAGACTTTATTGCCAGCCCTCTTGACAGGGGTAGTGATGGATACAATGGTGACTTTGTTTGGGGAGAGACAGTGGGCTTAACTCTGAATGCAGTGTGAGCAAGTAGGAATTCATAGCAAGGAGCATGATGCGGGCAGTGCCTGGAAAACTACTAAGAGGAAACTTCAGAAAGAAGGGAAATGCTAGTTAAAAGGACCCCGGGATTTTAGCTGAGTAAAAGCCACTGTGCTTAGATGTCATGTGGGGGCTGGTGGCAGATGGAAGATGCTGATGAGATACTGAGAGGGTGCTGGGCGGTGGTAGCGCACGCCTTTAATCCCAGCTCTTGGGAGGCAGAGGCAGGCGGATCTCTGTGAGTTCGAGGCCAGCCTGGCCTACAGAGTTACTGAGGGTACTCGACATTGGAGCAGGAGGCTTTGAGAAAGCTGAATTTTGTAAGGAAATGCACAGGTGGGCCTAGGAGGTTTAGGAGCTTGACTGAAGTCCCAGCAAACAAAGAAATGTTGTCACTGTAGGGGGAGAGCTGTTGTGCTTCTTACAGCTTTGGAGAAAGTTAAGAAGGCAAAAGTGATTGCCGTTACTAATTGTTACACAGGAACCTTTGTTTCTTTAGACGGTGCCTGGAGAAATGGGTGTGAGAAAGACAGCATTAAGTCCATCTTTGCTTCTTAACAAAACCTCAGGTTTTTGTTTGTTGTTTGTTTTTGTCTGTGTTCATCTGTGATTCCACATGTCAGAGGCATGGTCTTCATGTAGTTAAGAGACGGAGCAAGGGGAGACCATAGGTATTGGAACTATTGCCCTTGGAAGGGTCCTGGGGGACGCTGGGTTAGTTCTTCCAAGTGGGCAGTTATAAAAACAAGACCGGCCCTTCCCCTGACTCCCGTTCTGGTTGACTGTGATCTCTCCCTCTGATGATGTCATCTGCCGCTATGTGGTACCAGCAAGTGGGCCTTCACCAGAACTGGGGCTGTACTGAGCAGATCAGTGGCAAGTGCTGGGATTTGGAACTTCAAACTGATAAGTAGAAAGTATTAATCCCAACGTGGAGAATAAGACCACTACCACAACTGGAGCCAAATGTAAAGCAAGCTTGATTGTTTAGATTGGGGTACACTCAAGAGCTGGCTAGAAACTGCCTCCGAAGTCGGGTTAAAGAGAGCAGCCCTGAATCCATTTCTTGGGCTCCTTTTAAGGAGTAAAATTGTGAGTAGTTTTACAGAAGACAGACAATGGGGCAATGAGGAAATACAAAAAGAAATTTAAAAAACCCCATCATGTGGTCACCATGATTAAGGAAGGTTCAGAGACAGTTCATGGAAGGTTCACGAAGGGTCATGGAGGTAAGGGTATTTTCAAAAACAAGTCAGAGTCAAGGGTTTGGGGAAGGTCAGGTTCCTGGAAACAGAAACTCAGTTCTTACAGTAAATAGAAACTTATTTTTAACAATACAGCATATAACAATATAGCATAAATGACTCCTGCCTTCAAAATGGAGTCTGGTAGGTTCCTTGAAAGTACTGAAACTAGTGCTACTGCACTCTGGATGGGAGATGGTAAGAACTACTTATGGTTCTTGCCATCCTGTTTGCCAGAGACAAACCCCTTTTTGGCTGCACTATATGGACTTCTGAGTTGCCACAGAGCTAGAACAATATGAAAAGTTAGAGATAAAGGAGGGAGGACAACAGTGGTAACTCATGTTTGCGAACCTAGCAGTTTGGATTGCTAACCTGGCCTATGGAGTGAGGCCCTGCCTCAAAATGTGGATGGAAGGAAGGAAGGAAGGAAGGAAGGAAGGAAGGAAGGAAGGAAGGACCATTTAGCTAGGTATTGTAATATATGCCTGGATTCAATTCCAGCCCTTGGGGTGGGGCGGGTCAGAGATTTGAAGTTCAAGGCCAGATTTGGTTGAGGCTAGTCTGCGATGTATAATATCCTGTTAGAAAAATGAATAAAAGGAGGAAGAAGATGAGGAGGACAGGAAGAAGAACTGTTGAAAAGGGTGGTGAGCCCCAGAGAACCTCTATCTGATGGCAGGTTGACCAGTGAGCTCCACTACACAAGGACAGGAAACCACATGTGATCACCCAAATACAAGCTAGAAAACTTCAATGTGGGAAATGTCTGTGTAGTGTGACTTTGTGAAAGTGGGGAAATTGAAACTGGATTTGCCTTTACAACCTGTGGGGTCCAGATAGGCTAGATACTGGAGGTGAAAAGGATTCATTCATGGGAAGAATCCACCAAAGGAAAGGCGGACTTTCTGTAGCACGGAGAGGCTGCAGGTGCCATCTGCAATGAGGGGATTGGGGCAATGACTTTCTGTCCTCAGAATTGCAACTTCCAGACCTTTGGAAAGAGTTCAGAAAGAAAAGCAATAACCCATACAGTCTAAACTGTACATAAGACATATGCAAATGCTTTTTAGAAAAACCAAAGGGCTGGGTGAAGTTCACTGGTAAAGAATTTGTCTAGCATGCACAAGGCTCTAAGTTCAGTCATAGTACCAAAATATAATTACTATTACTAATATAATTCTCAAAATACAACTTAAATCTGGGATGGTGATTCTTGCCTGTGCTTCCAGTATGTTGGAGGTTGGGGTAGGAAGATTGTCATGAGTTTCAGACCAGCCTGAGCTACACAGTGAGTTTCAGATCAGCCTGGTATATGGTGTGAGAGCCTGTCATAAGGGCAAGAAAAAAGAAATAGAGAGAAGAAAGAAGAAAAAGAACCATCAACATATATAAAAACAAAAGCAGAAAAAAACAAAAACAGAAAATATTTCCTTCTACATTCAGAAGTCGTTAACATTTTAGCACATATCAGCAAACTTTTTGCCATGCACATACTGAAATTGTATATGTATCAAATGACTCTCTATACATGATAGTTTTTAACCCGTTTTTCTCTGTACATGGTGTGTGTGTGTGTGTGTGTGTGTGTGTGTGTGTGTGTGTGTGTGTGTGTAGGCCAGAGATCAATGTCAAGCATCTTCCTCAATTGCTTTCCACCTAATCTTTTGAGGCAGGATCTCACATTGATCCTGGAGTTTACTAATTTGGCCAGACCGCTTTGCCAGTCATCATCAGTGATCCTCCTGGCTCCTCTTCCTCAGTGTTAGGAATGCAGGCACACAATGCCATGCCCAGCTTTCACATGGGTGCCGGGGATTTGAACTCATTTCTTCACACTTGCACAGCAGCACTTTACTCACTGAGTCATCTCCCCAGCCCAAAAATGACTAAGCAGCATTTTTGCTGATTGTAATTATTATACTTTACATATAGCCAAGCATCTAGGTTATTTCAATTTTTTATTTTGCATTTTTATTTGGTTGATTAAAAATAACTTGAAACAATGGACAGTTTTGTGCTTACATCTTTGAAAATTTGCCTTTCATGAAATTTGCCTTCCATGAAAGTCTAGACATTTGGATTGTGTCATACACATCCACAAACTAATGTGGCAGGCACCAGCTTGCACTGACATACGGTCTAATCAAGGGCAGGAAAACGATGGGAGGTCAACAGTCTCTTATGACCTTGGGTTCTCTTGGGTTTCCAGACATGACATGGAAAAATGCCGCCCACAATTGTTTGACATCATGGGGTCCAACAGGGTTCATTTCCTTCCACTGATATTTCAAAGTTTGGTTAAAAGAAAACTAAAAAGCTGACTACAAACATGATTTCACATATACACTGGTCACAGCCTGGAACAAAATACTCATGAGTGAACTGTTCGTGAATCAGCTGAGATCTACACATTGTGCCTCACGCTTTAGCACCAAATGCCCCTTCCCACGGCTAGCCCATGCTGCAGTGAAACAGTTCAAAATAAATGAAGCTGAGGGTCTAGCCTGTCCACATGCTTTTGGTCTCTCTTTGATTTTCTTTGTATAAAGTTTCTTCCTCCTGTGATATATTCTGCTGCTAAGCCCAGCTAGTACATTCTTCCTTTCAGACTCAGTGCCCTTTTACTTCAGGAAGTCTCATCTCGCTGTTTTTTCTCACCCTTATCCACACTTTAAATTCCCATCTTTCCTCCAGATTCTTAAACATCTGGAATAAAATTGTGTTATCATCCTTGTCTGCTTCTCCTATTATCTGTGTCCTTCCTGAGTCTATTTCTATTGGTTAATTTCTTACTGTTGGTTTACTTCTTCTCATTGTTGATTTTCTGTCTTTATTTGTGCCTGGCAAATTTTGATTAGGTGCCAGACACAGTGACTTTTACCTTTCTGGGTATCAAAATTTAGTGTTCCCATTAATATTCTTGAACCTTGTACTAGGAGGCACTAAGTTACTTGGAAATGCTCTCATCTTTTGGGGGTTTACTAGAACCAAGAATAGCTTTGGTTCCAGAGTGACTTCTGTTCTGTTCTCCCACTGGATAGAGGTGGACTATCTTTCTGCATAGCCCATAGATGGATATATAAGTTGTTCTCCCCTGTTCAATGAGAAAGATGACTATTT